ATCAAAACATTGTGTATCAATAATGCAAAAGAATTTGCATCAAAGTTCTTTGAAGACTATTGTATTACAATAGGGATTGAGTTGACATATTGTGTTCTATATGAAAATACTCAAAATAAACTTGTAGAGTCATTTATAAAGCATATAGAAGTCATTACTTGGCTACTTCTTCTTCATGCAAATTTACTTACATCTATGTGAAATAATATAGTTTTGTATGCTGTGACATTAATATGCCTCCATCCTTCTTTTCTTGAAATTATTACACCATAAGAATTTATTTCAGGTTGTATTCCAAATGCATCTCACCTACTAGTGTTTGATTGCCATACATAGAATCCAGTACCAAAATCTCGACGATGTATGATTGGAGTTCATCGACAAGAAGACATATATGTTGGTTTTGATTCACCAAGCATTATTTGTATAGTTGATCCATATTACTAACTATCATCTAACTAGCATATTATTAGGTTCATATCATCTAACTAGCATATTATTAGGTTCACATTTTCAAAATTGTTGTTTTGAAAAGAATGTATTTTTATTTCTTTGAGGAGGAGTATTTAATCAATAAAAAAAAATACAATACTTGCATTTGCAGCACCAAAAATATTTACAATGAATCTTGATTCTAGAATATCTTTGACTAAAAGTGAAGTTTTCAAGATTTTATATTTAAAATGGATTGCAAATAAAATACTTGATGGCTTCAATGATGCATCTCGGATTATAAGAATTCTAATTAATGAGGCTCAAAATCAACCTGCTTAGATTACAATACCACTAATAAATATACCTCAAGTTAAAACATCACCAATTAAAAGGACTCGTGGACCAAATAAGCAACCACAAAAGAAAAAAGCTATAATATATAGTGATTCTGGTATTGATCCTGTTGAAGTTCCCACTAAATCTATTGAACCATCAATTGATGAAAATATGTCCATGTACATTATACCTTCACTTTATACGATAAAAAATCTTAAAATTAGAAGGAATAAAATCAAGTTGAGTATAAAATTATCTGTTCTATATTGTGCTACAAATGACCTTTGGAATAGATCATCTATTATAACAGATGAATCATTTGCATTCATAATGGTAGAAGCTCTTTCTTATGAGAAAGAGAATCTTGAATCTTAAACCATTCAAGAAGCAATGTATCGCTCTGACTGATTAAAATGGAAAAGTGTTATAGAAGAAGAATATGCTTCTTTGCATAAAAAAAAAGTCTTTGATCTAATTGTAGACACTCTTACTTCTCATCTTATAGGATATAAGATAGTATTAGTATACAAGCAAGATACTAAGGGTCAAATAACTTGCTATAAAGCTCGTCTTGTTGCTCAAGGATTTATCCAATGATTTGGCATTCTTTATGAATCTACATATTTTTCAGTCATGGATTCAATTATATTTTGATATTTATTGGAATGGTAGTTCATGCCACCTTTGAGATGCATCTCATAGATATGGTAACTACGTATTTGTATGATTCACTTGATATAGATATTTATATAAAAATTCCACCAAGTTTGGAAACAAGAACTCTAAATGTACCTGCTCCAAGACAATATCATGGTATTAAATTATACAAGGCCTTGTATGGTGTAAAATAATCTAAATGCATGTAGTATTAACATCTCCAAGATTATTTACTTATAAATAAATTTGTAAGTGATCCACTAATCTCTTATTTATTTATTAATTGAGATAAAATTGGTTTTGTGATTATTACTGTATATGTTGATGATCTTAACCTAATGGATATTAGATCTACATGCATTACAACTATTAACCTACTTATACATGAATTTGAGATGAAAATGCAAAAAAAAAAAAACTTTTTGCATTAGTCTTTAGATTATGTATCTCACATATGGTAGCATTTTTTTCTACCAACTCACGTATATTAGACGAATCTTATGGGATTCAATATGATTGATGCTTATCTATTATCTACACCAATGGTTGAGCATAGTTATAATGGTCATGATCCATATCATTGTTGTAATACATAAAGTCTTACTTAAGAATGCCCTACGCACCTAGCTGTGGAAGGTAGAATGGAAATTGTTACAACAAAATCCTAATTCTAATAGAACACTAACAATTTTAAATAAGTTTTAATCAAATTCAGAGAAACTTCAAAAAAATTATAAATAAATAATAAAAAATCTTAAAGAAATATAAGAATGATTACAAATATATCTCAAATACATCTCAATTCAATCTTAATTTAATCCTAATTGAAATCCTATTGGACTTCATTCAAACTTTAGGCCAAAAATTAACTAAATCTTAAATCCTAAATAAATTCAAATAAAACCCTGAATCCTTAAATTAAATCTTGACCAAATCTTAAACTTTAAATTAACTCCTAATAAAATCCTAATCCTAAATCAAATCCTAACCAAACCTTAAATCCTAAATCAAACCCTAAATCCTAAACCAAATCCTAATCAAATCCAAATCCTAAATCAAATCCTAAATCAAATCCTAAATTCTAAACCAAATCCTAACCAAATCCAAATCCTAAATCAAATCCTAACCAAATTCTAAATCCTAACCAAATTCTAATTCTAAATCAAATCCTAACCAAATCCTAATCCTAAACCAAATCCTAGTAATTTCTACAACAAATTTAAATCTCAATAAATAATTAATAAACCGTTGATCTTAACTCAAAATTTGCTTACTTCTTAAAAACTAAGTTGAAAACAAGCACAAAAAAATTGAAAAGGATCAGATTTACCAAATAGATGATTATCTCAAAAACGTGCTCAGGTGTTGACCAACTTCCTTCTCCAACCTTGATGCTAATCTCTTAGAGCCAATATCTATTTTTTTTTACCATTTGATTGATCTCAAACTTTTTATATACATAGAAAACAAGTCTACTATCCTTACCTTTAAATTTCACTCCAATCCAACTAGTAGATTGCAAGAAATCTTAAAAACCCTCACTAGACCTAAAATTTTACTTTTTAAGACCTTGATCCATTTAAACCTCAATAATTCTCAATTCAACCATTAGATAAAGCTAAAATTTACAAAACATATTAAGCACAATTATAACCATTAATTCACAAAATTTTACTTGTAAATCTATTATAAAATGCTTGAAATTGTCCAAAACGTCAATCCTATTTTATTTCACAAAACCCAAGTCATCCAAAAACAAACTTGACTTTGTCAAGCTCTTACAAAGTCATTACGAATCCAAATCACCCAAAACCAATGCTCATAGAAACCTTATTTATTTTGCTATCAAATTCCAATCTCCAATCTACAAAAGAATCTCCAAGTTGTCATCGAGACTTGGTTTTGTGCCTCAGGGTCTAATTTTAAGCTTGGTTCATAATTGGCCCTCTCTGGATATCAATATCTAGTTTTTCTAAGTAAATTTTGCTAGAATTTACTCTTAACTTCTTTCTTAAGATGGTAATATCATTTATTTTTCCAATCTATTTTGTTTTGGTTTATTTATAGTCCTAAAAAGTAAGTAGAAGTCACTTTTGTAAAAATGCAGTATTACTACTAAAAGTTTTACTACCTTCCTATCTTTTATCCATATTTTTCTATTTTATCTTTTAACTTGGCTATTCTATAATAAGATCCATATTATCATCTTTCACCATATAGTCATGTTACAACTCGATACCAATTGTGTAAAGAAGACGATGAAATATTAAGAGAACAATATCTATACCTTGCTATGATTGGAGCACTTTTATACTTAGTCATATCTAAGAGACTAGATATTACATTTGTAGTTAGTATTCTTACAAGACACAATGCATGTCCAACACTACAACATTAGAATGACATCAAATATTTATTACGTTATTTAAAAAGTACTGAAGATTTGGGATTATACTATACAAGCTCTATTGATTCAAAATTAGTTGGATATTCTAATGTAGGATATAAATCTGATATTGCAACAAATAAATCTCAAACAAGCTATGTATTCTTAAGACATGGAGCTGCAATATCATTGAAATCAATGAAACAAACTATAACTGCAACTCCATCCAACCATGCAAAAATTATTGCCTTACATGAAGTATCTCGAGAATGTATTTGGTTTCAATCAATTGATAACTTCATTCAAACAACTTGTGGATTTTCATATGATGATTCTCCAACTATCTTATATAAAAATAATAGTGCTTGTGTTGCATAGTTGCAAATTGGTTTTATTAAAGGAGATAAGACAAAGCATATTGATCCAAAATATTTTAGTTATATCCATGACTTGATTACTAATGAAGTACTTTAGATCAAAAAAATTGAATTTACAAATAACCTTGTTGATCTCCTCACCAAAGTTATATCTTTGTGCAACCATCGCCGACTTACTTATAGCATTGGCATGTAGCAACTTACTTTTCTTGAACAAGAAATTTGATGAACTCTTCAGATAATGTTGTACTTTTTTTCTTTCATCTATGGTTTTGTCCTTAAATATGATAAGATTTCCTAGATAAGGTTTTAATGAGACACTAATTATTAATCTTACAAGATTTCAAAAAAGTATAGATTATGTTTCTATGCATATAAATATTATGAAAAACAAAGAGGAGTGTTGAGAGCATTAAATGTAGCCGGAGCTCTCCATATTATTTATTATAATCTACAATATTTGGTGTAGCTATAGGGATTGGAATGTAGTGAAGATACATTGTTTATCTTCTCCCCTTTTCTTTGTATAAGAAATATAACCCTATCAATAAATTGACTTCTTGTGTGTGTGTTTACATATGTGTGCATATTACTTCTAGCTACTCTTTTCTCTCTTTCTTTAAAAGATTCTCAACAGAAACAAAAAAAGATAGGAATCCCCGAAGAACGGGTCCCTTCATTACAGGGAAGCTTCCGGACTGAATGAAACGGGGGGAGGGGGAGTGCGCGAGCCCAAGACCCCTACGAAGACCCCCCACCCCGAGACCCGCCTCCCCCACACCCTCGCGGGCTCCGCTCCACCAGAGTCTGTCTTCCCTTCTTCCCTTCCCTTCCCTTCCTTTGCTTTGCTTTGTTTCCCATTCCTTTCCTTTCTGCTTGTCATCCCCCCTCCCTCTCTACCTCCCTCCTCGACTCTCACTCCAACGCCCGCTCTCTGTTCCGCTCGGCGTCGTATGTTCAAGCTTTGCAACGCCACTCGCCATAGCGCTTCGCTCCGTCCCTATCGCTGTGCTTCCAAGTTCCGGGAATTGTTTGCATTAGCGATGCTTGAGCCCTATATTTGAGAGAGAGGGTATTTTTGGGACATGGCCAGGGTTTGGGTTTCCTGCTTCGGTGCTTCGATCGCTAGTGGAGAGGAGTACTGAGCTGCGGATCATGGAGGTATGTTATCAGTTCTTAACGGCCAGATCGTGGTGTTCAGGCTATGTGGATATGTGGCAGTCATTGTGAGAGGGAGGTGCAAAATCCTGTCGTGTATTAAATTGTTTGGAGATTCCTTTAGACACTTTAAGATGGCATTATGGAATTTTTTGAAACCTGGGAGCGATTGCGAACGACTATGAGTTAGCCGATAGTGTGGGAAATGTGAAATTATGGTGGTCGTAGCCTTTCTAACAATTCTGATTTTATTTTTGTGAACGGGGGTAGGAATGAGTGTATTTGTTGGCTAGGGCTCATCAACGAGTAGATTTAAGTTCATTCGCATGGATTACGGAACTAGTCGGAGAGGCTCTTTGGTTGTTTTTGAGAGTTTTGAGCACAAGGTGTCTCTGTAGGACTGATATGCACGCTCGACGTAGATTCTAGTCATCATGGCGTTGCTGCGTAGTTGTCTTGGTGTAGGATTTCCTATTTCACTTATTTATTTTTTTCGAATTTAGGGCTCGAGACAGGTTCTTAACTAGAAGCCCACAAGCGTATGATGAGCTGGCAATTCTGAGATTATTAGTTCAATATGACATGACTGGGCTTTGAGGATACAGTTTAAACAGCTGAGGGTTTTCATGTTAGCATGTGCACTACTTGGTCACTTTTCTCTTGGCTCTGTTTTGGTCCAGGGGACACTCACGTAGTTTTTTAGAGCCACACGCTTGTTCCTCTCCATCTCGTTGTTCTGTTAAGGAGGTTGGGTAACGAGATCACATTCATTCCAGATTTTGGAGTGTTAGTAGCTTAGTACTATATTTTGTCTTGCTTGAAATCTTTATTTCTGCTCAAAGCTTGTTCAAGTTTTGTTTCCAATAGTTTTCCAGAGAGTTGTAGCTGTATTTTGCAAAGAACATAAATTCTGTGATTAAAGTTAGACATTTTAATTTGTTAATCCTCGTGCATACTGTGGACTGTGAAAGATTGACTGGTAACGATAGCCCCCGATCATGCACGCCCAAGCTAGAGTTGAGGCAGAATGGGAAGCACAGAAGAACCTGATCGCAAACGCCGCCACCTTAACAACCATTCTGTATCCCCTCCAGTCAAGAAACAACCTTTTACACCATCAGCTGAGGAGAAAAAGGTAAGCCTTACGTCTTTCGTGCATTCATTGCATCGTATCGTCTGTAATTCTCAAATTTCTACGCTCTTGTTCAGAGAAAAGAACATGGGAATATGTTCATTGACTGTTCTTGTCTGAACAGCAACTTTTTTGTACTTAAGTATAGGACATGGTGGAAGTTCCTAGGTTAAGGTACAATGCTGGTGTGCTGGAAACTCAGGTGGATGCACAAATGTTGCAATATCAAAACCACAAGCTTTCTCAACAGCTTGAGGTTCAGCGCAACGAAATAACTGTTTTGGAGGGTAGATTGAAGCAACTGCATAGCAAGCAGGCCTTATTCGATGAGAACCTCTCAATTGTCAGTCGTGTATGGAATCAGGTGAGGCTTCTAGATTTTTGTGCAGGTTTCATGTTGCGTTGACATGGGAGAGTTCATTTTAATACACTCGATGAGCAGGAACCAGATCCTCTTTTTATCATCTGTTGTAAAGGCGGATTTATTGATTTTTAAATAAACGGAATGTTCATTTATTTGATTTGTTTACTGCATGTTGAATGAGTCGAAAATCCTGTTGTTTTTTATTTTCATTTTTATTTTTATCTTCAGTTTTTATTTTTATAATTTGAGTTTTGTGTACCATATCGTTGTGGAGGAATATGTGCAAGTTTTATCATACAAGTAGGATTACATTTGTATGGAGCTAATCAAAGTTAGGAGCGATTAGATGGGATCCTTTAATGTCACTAATTTAAGGGATTAAAGCGCCGAATATAGGTTGTGGATGATTTGGAGTTGCTTACTGTGCGAGCCAATACTACAACCAACGGAATTCAAGTTTCGGGATCTGTTTCTAAAGGTGCATTTTAATGTGCCCTTTTTGTTGTTTTTGTTTGTTTTAAAATTTGAAGTTTTAGCTCCATAAACACAAGAACGCAATAATTTTCATTTCTGCACCTACGTGAAATTTGTGATACGGTTGTGTTTCTTTGGAGTGATTGGGTCCCTAAACACATAATCGAGTCTTTGTGGTTTTGTAGAAGGTTGGCCTAACTAATTTATGTTGACGAAATATTGATATCTTTTTGGTTGTGTTATTTTCATAGATCGGAATGATGCCTCAGTTCTCCCAGCGCAGACTTTTTTGCAGCGGTTGCTCGATACGGGAGCTACCGAGAGTTCCATAATCAATGGAAGTAATGGTTCAATTGAGTCTGGACACTCTAGCCGAGAGGCAACAACTTATAAGACCATGAAGGATATTGTGCAAAGTATTGATTATGAGCGAGCTCGAAATGAAGACCTTGTGAGCAATTTTCGAAATGGCATTGCTTCTAATGGTGGGGAAGCTTACATGAATGGCAGAGCGTTGAAGTTAGCCTATAAAGATGTGTCATGTAAAGCATGTTTCTATTCTAATTGGAATTATCAATCAATCTATTATTAGCAGTAGTATTTTTGATACGTATCTTAGGTTCAAAACTTTTCTCTGTGAAAAATCCCTTTATCATTTTGCATACCCATCTTGCATCTGAAAGCCAGCGGAGACAGTCATTTGGAAATTGTGGGACAGCATGATGAGCTTAAAAGATATGGCAGGTGTCAATCGGTCGCTTGTGAAAGCAAATGAGGAGCTATATGTAGAGGCGAAAAAGTTGCGAGGTCTTGTGGATGATCTTCATGTAAAGCACCGGGAACTTTCAGCTGAGCTGGGAACTTGTCGTGACCTTCAGGCGAAGGACCAAGCTGAGCTTAAGAGATTAAAAGGTGTTAATTTGTTCTTGTTTCCCATAACCCTGCTAACCACAAACAGCTTCTACGTGGATATACCTGTGATTTCAATATAGAGCTGCTTCAACATTTTCATTGTATGCTCACGATTTTTTTGGCACTGTAGGGGAGCTGGAGGAAGCTTGTGCTGACCTTGAGTCTAATAGGCGCCAGTTGGCTGCGCTTCGTTCTCAAGATGCGATGCTCTCTGGTCCGCCCACTCCCAGTGCCACTCCAACTCGTAAAACATTTGAATTTGGGGAAGGAGGTGCAGGACAAGTAAAAGTTTCTAAGGAGAATTGTGAACTGGAAGCTGGTTTGGAAGAGGCCAAGGTACTGAATTTTTCCTCTGAAATAATATTTTAGCTGAATTAGTGTTATTTACATGAAGAAATTGTTTTAAACTTGTTTGAATAGTTCCAGTGATTTATCGTTTCAGTCGGTAGCAACTGCTATAGACATTCTATCGTGTGAATGGTCAGCAATTGGCAAACAAAATTCTGTATGGTTTGAAATTTTAAAAATCTTTTCAATCGGAAGGCTGCTTGTGTAGATAAATAGATGTATGAACCAAGTAGATCGGTAATTGAAAACTTCGCAGTTTGTTCCATCTGGAATCGCATGTTTATCTTTCAAGTTACAAGGTTTGGGAGTGATGTGCATGTCACGAGCATATGAGCCATGATGTTCGTAATCACGAAAGTTATACAATCACATTACTAATTTTATGTGTGATTTGCCAGACATTGGCAGCTCGAAGACTAACTGAGCTTGAAGAAGCCATGAATAATCAGTTGGATGTTATTCAGAAAATCCAGCACTTGCAGGTCAGTTTCACTACAAGCCTTGTTCATTTTATGGTTTGGGGTGTATTGTAATTTTAATTTTGCTAAGTAGGTTTTTAGCCATGCATACGGTCAAGCATTGATATCAACTCCTTTTGATAAGCAGGACGAACTGGATGATCAAGAATCCATTATGACTTCTCGGCAGTATCAGTCACTGCATGAAAAAGTGCAGTATCTGAGGGGTGAAGTTGAGAAGCATCAGGCTATGGTAGACGAGTTACAGGTGTGTGGTTGTCAGTTAGGTGTCACATAGTGTTTTACTTGCATCAATTTTCACTTATCTCCTTTGAATTTGCTCCAGTTATATGCGGATGGCTTAGTTGCGCATGAGTGCACGTCAACCATTTTTATCTACAATTTTTTTGAGTTCACTACAATGTTTTATTGCATTTGTTATTTATTTTGGAATATTCTGGCAAGCAGGCAGTTAATTCTTCATTTTTTAGAACATTTAGATACTCACTAAAAAATCTTCAGATGTTTATGGGAGCTCCCAGGCTGCCTAGCCAGGTGGCTATTGCTCAGTAAATCCTGTACATATGGGACATGGTTATATTATTTTTAGGCTTGATTGTGCTTATGTAATAAGACGAGTCGATCCCCATTTCAACGCGCAGGGAGAGCGTATATCTCTTTTGCGTCGCGAAAAAGAGGCTATATTGAAAGCTGAGGCTGGTGATGCAGCTCGAAGGGCATGCATCCTCTCAGATGCTCGGGCAGATGATTTGGAATTAAAGCTCCAGCAGTGCATGTCTGATTGTGACACCTTGCAACTGAGAGTTACAGACGCTGCTCAGGCTTCAGGTGTGTTTTATGAGAATTTCCATGATTTTGTGAGCGTGTTATCTGTTTTCGAACTTGTGGATTCTAAAATCGTATTTCGAAGCTTCCAGCACTGTAGACTTGGGGGTTGTTATACAATCTTATCTCTTAGTTAGTCAAGAAATGAGGCGGTGACCAATATATGGCTTAGCTTAGGCTTTCTGATCTTTCGTTGATGTTTTGTATCTCACAGCAAGGAAAGAGTCTGTGGCTGATCTGAAGGAGGTAATTAGTAATCTTGATGAAGATATAGCTATGATGCAAGGTCAGCTATACGACTTCAAAGAAACAGGCTCAGCTGTCCATTCTCTGCGAGCACAGCTTCATTCCTTGCATGCAAAGCTGGAAAGAAAAGTACGTAGTTCAGCACTTTCATATCCCACGCCCGCTAAGAGACCATATGGAAATTCAATGATTAAAAATATTGTTGGTTTTCAGGTTTTCAGACTTGTGTGATGATCTGTCACGTTTGTATATGCAAAATAAATAGGTAAACTAACAGGGATTTCAGATTGAGGAGCGATATGCTCAATTTTATGCTCGCAAAGGTGTCTGTGTTACATCAGCGTTTATTATTATCAAATGTTTTCTGACATCTAATCTGTTCACATGCAGAGCAAGGAAAGTCGGGAACTGTCTGACCAGCATCTTGGTCAAGTTCCGGAACTGAATTCCATCCAGAATGAGGTAGATTTGTCATCTTAAAACTAGTACTGGGGCATTGTGGCATGTACTGTTCTGGAAGGAGCAGGCTCAGTTTTTTTTTTGCATTCCAACCTCCAGCCAGTGAACGGTGCAAGATATAATTCTTTAGTTGTATTGTCAAATTCTTCGTATTAGCCACCATGACCAGGCTATTGAGCCATATTTTGTTGTCAACTTGCAGATTAGGGGTTTGCAAGATAGTGAGAAAGAATTAAAGCTTATTCTGAATATGTACAACAAGGAATCAACTGATCCAAGGTGAACTTGTTAAGTACTTATGACATTTTGGTGTTGCAGTTCAGTCTTTGTGGATGAAAATTTCTGCATCAAAACATATCTTGTAATATTGGTATTTATTTTATGGGATGCTTGTACTTCGGCTCTAACTTAGCAGAATCTACAGCTGACAGTGTTTTCTAATCCTGAAAATTGTGTTACTGGGCATAAATCTCATGAGCTTGGTTATTGCCATTAAGGACTCTATTCCGTAGCAGACAATTTACTGTAGTGCCGCGAAGATGGTTAAGATTTAGAGTGAATTAAGTTAATTTTGAAATTGGAGGTCTTTTGATGAATTCTGAGTCAATTAGCTGTTTAAGAACGCATGTCGTATAGTTGTGCAATTATTTTGCGTTTGCTTTTTGCACCTACTGTACTCAATTTTTTAGTTATCACAACGCCATACAGGCTGTTTAACTAGTGTGACTTTGTACAGGGAAGTACGAGAATTACAACAGGCGAATTGTAGGGCTCGGGCAGAAGTGCAACGACTGCAGTTGGCTCTAGACGAACACAGTCTAGAGCTTCGTGTGAAAGAAGCAAATGAAGCAGAGGCCGCATGTCAGCAGAAGCTTGCTGCGGTTGAAGCTGAGATTGCTGAACTGCGGCAGAGTTTAGAGGCTTCTTACAGGTAAAAAATATCAGGAAGTAGTCTGATGGTCGTGAGAGTGTTTCTGCCGTGTTGATGAGGGCAATGCGATTGCTAAGTTCCATCTTGAGCCGAGATTATGAAATGTATCCTCGAATTTGGAGAGCTCAGAATTACATCTCACAAAAGCTACTTATATCTGAGCATCACCAACGGTCCTATTTTGGTGCAGGACAACACTCTCTTATAGGGATGTTTTGGACTTGCTGAAATCTCAGTTTTACTGGAAGAATATCAACACTTGTGATAAAAAAACATGTGGCTGTTTTTCTCGTACCTTTCCTGGATATAACCGACCAACCTTCCGGAAGCTGTTCATTTTTAGTTTGTTGGGCGTATAGTTATAGATGCTTTGTTTGGCTGCAGAGTTGCCCACGATTTAAAAGAGAAGCTACATAACAAGAAAGATGAAGAGGAGACGTACACAAGTGAAATACGTGTATGTGTTGAACACCTTTGTCAATTGCTGTATCTGATATTTTTGTAACCTTCTAACGTTCTGTGTCGTAATGTTCGATGCCTTTCTACCTTAGTAAATTTAGTTCTCTTTCAATTTCCTACATTAACTTCAGGTCTCTTTGTTCCCTGCTTGGTCTCTTCTCCTTAGATTTTTTACCTCTGAAATTGCAGAATATTGGTCAAGCTTATGACGACGTGCATTCTCAAAATAAACGATTGCTTCAAGAAATTATAGAACGTGATGAATACAATGCTCAGGTATGGTTACATTATGCACTTAATTACCTGTAACTGTCACTTTTACACACCTTTTCAAGCGAGCTTTAACGGAGATGTGGGAATGTATTGCTGCTTGGGAATCAATTTTTGGACTCTTGCAAATGGGTTCTTTAGTTACTTAGTCCGGAATTATTTGGGAGTCTTGTAAGCTTTCTGAATGTTTTTTCAATCAAGTCATTTGATTGAATCTACATGTCAAAAATGTAGATTGAACGACATTTGACATGTAGATTCAATCAAATGAACATTTGATATATTTTCATATATCCTTTGAACGAAAAGCGCTCTTTCGGTTGAGCAGTTGCTTTTACTCACATGGATCCTTTTATGTTTGGAATCAGTTAATGTCAGAGAGTCTCAAAGCTAAGCAGCTGCAGGCTTCACTGCAAGCTGAGAAGCAAGTGTTAAATGCCCGTATGCAACATGCAAATGCAACCGCTGATCTCCACAAGCAGCGAATTGCTCGTTTAGAAGAACAAGTACGCTTTTTCCACACTGCTTATTGGGTGGACTGTTAGTTTATGCTTCTAAATAGTCAAGTTCCTGATGAGTTGGTATTATGCTGTTCTTCAATGATTCATTTTTTTCTTTCTTAATATTGTTCAGTACGTTATTTCAGTCAGTGTGACCCTCGTAATGAAAGAAAGATCTTCGACGTGTGATGTGGTATAGTCCAATTTGACATCGAAATATCAAATGTGAACGAATTTTCTCGCTGCAGGCTAGAATGCTTATTCATGAGCTTGCGAAAGCTACAGATGAGAGTCGACAGCAATCATCAGCAATGGAAAGTGCAAAACGAAAAGCTGTTGAGATGGAGAAAGAGTTATCTTCTGCCAATTCAGCATTAGCAGCGGCTAACCAAGTGTTGGAGGAGCGCGGTCAGAAATTGCTGAATGTGAAGCTGCAATTAGAAAAGGAGAGGTCTGCATTCGTTTTCATGTTGGGAACAACCAGGAAATGGCAGCATACTTGGATAAGACTATATCAAAGCAGTTATTTAGTTATGCTTAGTATGCACATCTTTCTTTCGCATGTAGTGTAAATGGTTAGGTCTAGGCTATGAACCTGTCTGCAACTACTTAAGCAGGTTGTAGTGATGATTATGGTCCTGCCACAGGTTTGAGAAGCGAAGGGTTCAAGAGGAGTTGGACGTTTTGAATGTGAAATCTGCACGATTGAATTCCCTTCACGATGGTGGGCCCATGGTAGAACTCTTACAAGAAGAACTTAATGATTACAAAGCTATCCTGCAATGCAGTGTCTGCCACGATCGAAATTTTCAGGTGCTCTTCTCTTCATGTGGCTAGTGCAAATTGTATCTCGATTTTTGTGTTATTATTTCATCATTTTTTGGTATTTTTTGAGTTCAGCTTTTTGGATTTTAATGTGAGGGATCACGTAAATCAAAAGGCACTCCACGGATAGCAGTGTATTAGTTAAGGGTTACGCTCATCCACCAATTTCTTCAAACTGAACTGAAGAATATACTAGGCTATCTAAAATCATTGGTTACGAGCATATTTCAATTGCAGAATCTAGTCGCTGTAAGCTGGTATTTGGTGGCCATTATATATTTGCTATACTAAATGAATTTTTGTTTTACAGGCGGTTATTACCAAGTGCTACCACCTATTTTGTAGCCCCTGCATACAACGTAGCTTGGATTCAAGACATCGGAAATGTCCTGGTTGCGGGGTTCCATTTGGGCAGAACGATGTGCGAACCGTGTATATCTAAGATTTTTTTTTGGAGAGGCATGGTCATGTGCTAACAAAAGTTCATGATGTATCCTTTGTCATGCCCTGTGTACCTCAAGACCGTTGCATTCATGGTAGTGCCCTCAGTGTGACTCTTTTAAATGTAGGGCAGTATTCTTCAGCTGTCTAGCTTAGGAATACTTTAGGATTGAGTTTCAGCATTTAAGGATATGATTTTGGTTATCATCCAACTGTGCCATCTTTGTTTGATTCAAAGTTATTCCCACGTCCTTTTGTAGTAACCGTCTCTTTTCCTTAACGGTTTTCATTATCAGTGTTTGAGACATAGCAGTGATTGTAAACATGTATTTCTGTGGATTGAATGACAAAAATTGTTAAGATTAATTAGGATTATTCTATATATATGTATAGCACCCAAATCTACATGATTATCACATTCATGATAAAAGATAATGGATAAGGAGTATAATAACCAACTTCATACCAAAAAATATATTAATATAGAATAAAGTAATGTAAAATAAGAATGACCAAATTCTCAAATGAATTGAAATTTGATTAGAATTATTTTAATTAAAAAACAAAAGTAAAAACTACTCAGCAAAGAAGTTTGGAATTTAAAATTTTAGGAATGGATGAATTGATCATAATTGATCTTAAAAGGGAGTAACAAACTAGTGAACATAGAATTAACAAAGGTCCAAGGGGTAGTATTGTAGTAATGAAACAATTGCAGATAATAATAATAGATTTGTCAATTTTTTTTTTTAGATTTGCAATAATAGAAACATCTTGGTAGATGACACCTCAACATGTGTAAGTACTAACTTTAGGCTCTATGAAATATTTTTAGATTTAAAAAATATTAATTAAATTTAATAATCAAAATTCTTAAATAGATAATATATTCAAATTATTAATATTATTTGAAATACGAAAATATTCTACTATTGATTCTTTGCCCAGCAAATAATAAATGTCATGTACTATATTAATAATAAACAATAAATTTAAACAACTATTCATTTATTAATACAAAATTGCATTGAAAATTGCATAAAAAATGGAGTAATATATTTTATTTACAATATTATTTAAAAATAGCTTTAAATTTTGTTATTCTTTTAAACTCATCTCCATCATACTAGAATCTCTTAATTTACAAATTGCTTGATGTTGCCTTCTTTTGCTTCCAACTTGTGGTAGATTGCAATTAAAGATCTTCACTAGTTACTTGATTGGTGTGCTATTAAGCTTAGACTTCAAACCTTAATGTATTTTTCATTGCTTTGATGACAAAGTATTCTAAAAATAATGTATTGAGATATGACGACCTATTTGTGGTGTTTGAACATTTGAAATTGAGTCTAGGATTCAGAGCTATGATATCAAGGACCTAATTGGTATCAATTTTTGCATGAGATGAATTTGATTTGTTCTTTGACAAGATCATCATGGTCGGATTTAGTTTTTGAAATGTTTACAACGTAGTACATGCAGCTACTTTAAGAACTGATGGTTTTTATTTTTATTTATTTTTATTTTATTATGTTGGCAATATAGAACTTTATTCCATACATCAACAAATGGACATCAACAATTTAATATAGAGATTGATAAAGAAGGTCTTATCTTATAGATGCAAAAATTCTTTCAAAAATTTATGATTTGGAATAGAGGGTAAGAATGAACAAGTATGGAATTCCAATGACTTATATCATTAAAGTCATTAAGATTTATATTGAATATGAGTTTACAAAACCTAGATTTGAAGAAATGATTTTTCAATAAGTTTAGCAACTTCAACAATACATTCAACATAATACAATTTCTCATGCACAAAAAGAAGAATTTATAAATAATATAAATGTTTAATATGTGTTGGTATTGAAGTTAAACATTAATACCAAAAAAAGACATCATATGCTTCAAAAGTAGTAATCTTTGTATGCCATTTAGGACAAAAGTTTTACTGCAAGGCTTTTGATTCATTTAATAATAGTAGTAAGTTTAAACAATAATCTCCTAAAAGACATGTATGGTGTAAGTTTTTTGTAAAAATCATATATTCTAAAAATGAGAGACAAGATATTGTCAAGGATATGAATCTCAAAGAATCAAAAGATCAATATACACTTGTTTTACTTAAAAGAGTAGATAATTACTCAAAGATGGTATAATATTGAACTAGAATGGCTATTGCTAAAGATGAGAAAATTAGAGTTTCTTAAAATAAGACCAGGAATAATAAAAGCATTGACAAGAGTGAAGAAGGCTTCACTCTTGTCTCTATATATACTATCTAACTAGGAGCTATATAACAATATTTTATAAGACCTCTAACACATATTTAACTTGTAAGACAAATTTTTCATGTGCACACCACATGACAAACTTATACCACAAGTGGCCAACTTATTAGCCAAGTTTTCAACCTACCAATCACCTATAAATACATATAAAATCAAATCATATCTATAAAGCTTTTTTGTAAGATATTATCAAATTTATTTACTTATACTTATTTCTATTTAATTTATATAATCGAAGTAAATATGTATATTTACAATAAATATCAAAGTTCATATCAATACAAGCCAAAATAGCCATGATCCTAAATCAATGAAATATTGTTGGTTTTTTACTTGTTTATTAAAGCATAATTGATAATTGTGCTCAAATGTTTGATACTCTTAATAACATCAAATTTTCCTTGGAATATTTTGAAAGATGCAAAGATATTTTTTTAAAAAGATTTATTATATAAATAATGAATATTTTTTATTTTTAGATCCAAAAGAAACAACAAGCCTATTATATCATCTTCAAATAGAAGAAAGATGCAATGAAAATAACTATGAAGTAGTCAAAGACATGATCCCTAAATAGGTAAATATATATATATATATATATATATATATATATATATACTTTATCATGCTTTAAATCCAAAGAGCCCAATAGCAAAGAAGTGACTCTTTGTATTAAAGATACAAACAAAGACATGCTTGAAAGAACAAAAGATATTATACCAAACTTGGCATGGATTGTAGACTTAATGTTAAAGCTTAATTAATAGAATATATCATTGTATGCTAGAATCTACTTCAATGCAATGGGATTGGAGATGCCAATTTTTTTATGCTTTGTACTACCAAGAAGAATAGTGATCAAGGCCAAATGTTAATATATCTCATAATGTCTACCGTATTTCAAAATATGAATATAATTTGGCCAAATGCAATACTAATTGATAAAAATAATATAAAGTATAAGACTTTAATAAGAACCATTAAAAAAGACTATATGTATTGAAAAAACAAAAAAATTGATAGAATTTAAATAAAGAGTTTTATGCTTTTGTGTTGGTTTCACATTTAAAAAAGCATGGATAGAGCATTTTTTTTTATCTAAATTACTTGGTAATGAGCATTTTGATTTATAAGACAATGTGCTTTATATTAGAAGCTAGTATTGAGTAAAAAAAAATTGATATTGATTACAAAAGATTCAAGACTATATACGCTTAAATCCAAGAGATACTTAAATATCTAAAAAATAATTAGATAGGACTTAATAGCCAATAGAAATTGATGTATCGAAAATAACATAGAATTTATCACCACGGAAATGCCAACACAATTAATCTTATAGAATACATGTAGAAATATGTAAAATATATTATTTTAAATAAAAAAATAAATTACAGCTTGATGAATTTATTATTGTATTGATAAGCAAGCCAAATTTATGATATTATTTTAGAGGAATCCTTTTAATGCAATACTATAACAATGCCTATGCATTGAGTAAATTAAAAAAGTATTCTTTAAGAAACAAAGACAAGCAGTAGATTGTAAGATTGTAAAGAGCCAAGTAGTATGTTGAGCTTTATATACAAGATCATTTTTCAAACTTAGAAGCTCTTGATATATGTCATACAGAGTTTGTATTTCAAAGCTAAGATATTCTAATAAAATGGTATATTATTAATTTATTTCACAAATGGTACAAATATAACAATTATGGTCTTATATATAAATACATGTAGGCTGTATGATGGATTGTTAAAAAAAAATATCTATATTTGTTATATTTATTACCAAGCACATATGAAGATAGTGAAATCTTTAATAAAAAAAGAAGATGTTAATCATAATGGCCCATGAGATAGGCCATATAATCAACAAAATGATGATCTAAGTAATAGAAGAGATAGTAGAATTTAAATTCATAAATATGATGTTCAAGTTTGTAAGTTGTTTTATATAACTCATTTAATGATACAGATAAGATGGAAGCCTTGACTATAGAAGAACATGATGTATTCAATAAAGTAATAGAATCAATCTTAATACTTTTAAGAAGTACAAAAAACTTACTACCGAGATCTCTACAAATTCGTATGCCAAGAGAAGGTAGTAATATCACTTCTATATAAGTTCATATTACAAGACTAGACTTAAATTTTGAAGCCAAAAAAAAAAAAAAAAAAAAAAAAAAAAATGATAATGAAGAAGCATATGGTAGAAAGAATCTAGTAGTATCAAGACATGGTGAATTCAAAGTTCTATGATGAAGGCAAGAAGTTGTTAAAAGAAAGCATATACAAATAAAATTACTTAAGTTGTGTAAAGAAGCATGTCTAGAGCATAGTAATTTAAATATGTTTTTTTATCAAAGTCACCAAAACTAAGTGTATTAATTATCAATACATGATTGTAAAAAAAGATAATAGTATAGCATTAGATAAGAAAGGATGTAATATTGACCAAGACATAGAATTATTCTTCAAAGATTTAGATTTTTATTATGAGAGTGGATGCAAAATTTTGCACTTCATAAAAGGATTTAATTTAATTTAATTTTATGATATTTCATATGTGGTATTTACCATTGTATATAATAAAGACTAATTTTAGTGGTAGTTTTTATGACCACATTATTATGGTTATTGCATTTTTTTAATTTTGAAACTACTTTGATAAAAATTACCTACTTAGATACAAATTTTATCTATAAAATACTTTTCCTAGAGAAAGAATTAGCAAAGAAGTTAATCAATGATGAATCCTTGTTTATAAAATATCTATGTTTGATAAAAAATTAATGAGTAAATTTTTTAAGTTACAAAAAAAATACTTCAAAACAAAAGTACACTACCATGTACATTGAGTGCTATTGTGTATGAAAAAAAAAATATATATATATATATATATATTTGAAGCAAGAGTGATGGTTGAAAATTGGGATTGAGAGGCAGCCCCCGAACAAAATTCAGCACACATGTGAATGTGGATCAGTGCGAGCCGAATGAGGGGGTAGAATATGCATCAGTGCGGACCAAAGGAGGAGTGGGTTCTGAGTTCCCAACCTGCCTGCCCTCTTGGTTCTCTTACGTTCCCTCCCTACGTTCCAAAATATCATATCGGCGGTTGAGATTGAATCTGAGAGGCAGCTGCGATCCGACGGCCCAAGATGGTGGAGCCAGTCGATCGATCTGGGAGGTTTCTGCGAGAGTTCTACGAGGCTTGCCCCTTGCTTGGATAAAAACCGCGTCGACTTCGGGAGGAAACGGCTTAGGAAACGTCGCTTCGACTCATCCCGACGGTTCAGGGCATCGCCTGGAGCAACGACGCATCATCGGAAGGGGCACTGACGATTCCGCGGAAACGTCGGCACGGGAGAATGGAGCTGTTGGCGGTTGGAATATAGAAGGCCCTAGACGAATGCGCCAACCCATCTTCGTCCTCCATGAATCCTGCACGGACTTTCCGTCGCTGCTTCGTTGTTTCCCTGATAGCAAGTAACTGCCCCTCCTCTTGGAATTCCTCTGCAGATCCCTGACCGCGCAATCGACGCGACCCTGACGAATCCGCTCCAGGGGACCTGGAACTTTCCTGTCTCATCCTTGCCAATGTTGGTGGTCTTCAGATGTAACTGTCGTCTTGTACCACAAGCATCTCCATATCAGTCTTGGTGGCCAACGCTCGGTTTCGGATTTATTGGATTCAGGTCTGAGAGTGCATTAGACCGCTCGCCTGCCTGGAACTTCAACTGGGTTTCCGCCGTGGTGCACTTGAACTGTCTTTGTGTGGCGAGGGTGTTGTGTTCCGTTTGCGAATATTTTGAACGCTTTGAAGAGAGGACCGTGTTGTGAGTAAGGGATCGAACATCGCTTCCTTAGGATTTGTGAGTGAGAGTGCTGTGTGGAGATTCATTGGGAAAGATGTGTTACGGTGGAGTTGCGGGGAGCAGTGCGCATCAACAAGTGCAGCTGCAGAGTCATGGAGAGCAAGGGACAAGTGCATGGCAGGAGTCGCAATTGAAGAAGGCGTTCCATCTGATGGACCGCGACGGAGACGGGACTATTAAGTCCGAGGATTTATCTCATTTTTTGCAGTATTCGCTCAAGAGTAGTCTGAGTGCTGAGGAGATAGATCTGATGATATCGTTGGCAGACAGGGACGGTAATGGTGCCGTGGACTTTGAGGAGTTTCTGTCACTCGTGAAGGTACACATTCCTCAGAGGGTGGAGAGCTTGTCGTCGCTCGGTCAGGATGCCTTGGAGCAGATGTTTCGCGTGCTGGACCGCAACGGCGATGGAGTACTGTGTTCGGATGATTTAAGCGGCGTGATGGGGAGTTTGGGGCAGATTTTATCGTCAGAGGATCTTCTGGCTATGGTTGAGACTGCCACCGGATCGAATCGGCGGAAGGTTACCTTTGAGAACTTCTGTCAACTAATGAGCACCGATGCTTCATGTTGAGACATCGGCGTCTAGGTTTCGTAACCCTAGACTTAGATTCTGGCGTACCTTAGCTCGTATGGGCAGTAATGTGTGTCGTTCAGTATGAGAAGACCAGCAGGTTGACGAAGAGTGTGTTTTGCGTCGTTTCATACCTCCAGCGATTCAACAATAGATCATATCAGAGTTTAGCAGATGATACCATCACATTCGATATCAGTGAGGCACCTTTCATAGGTATCCACCCTGGCGCACGAGCTTAGGACAATGACGACAAGGGAAACATTTTAGAGTATGTACACATCACAATTTTTTTCCTATTAAATCAATAAATTACTTCCAACATCTTATTAGGCGAAATCGGTTGCATTACTTTTATAAGAGAACACCAGATGTATTTGTCTTTGGACGGTCTGATGGAATGCAGCTTATCATGCTGGTGAGACAAAACACCAATTTTTCTCTGGCAAGCGAGAGCGTTACGTCAGTACAGTGTCGGTCATCACACCCCGTACGGTCTCTGAAAAGCAAACGCAGCCGCTTGTGGAAGTACCATTTATGCGGTTTTCTTTGTCCTCATCGATAACGTCGAATGCCCACTGTCCCAGTTGATTGACTTGTGACGACACATCAAGCCACGGATTGTGACACTGATTGTTCAACGCAAGAAGAGAACTTCTTCAAACATCAAGTCGGCGTTTTTACTGCACCAAAGACTTCTTCCACAGTACCCTAATCTTTGCACAAAACCGTTGAACGCTCCCTACAACGCTGGCATTCTTTCTTGTAAAAGTCCGTCAACACCCTATGGTAACCATTGCACTTTCAATAATACCTCTTTATCTGGCGAACTAAAATGGTTAGGGACAATTTATCCCCAAATTGTTAGAATGGAGGTTATTTCTAGGTTATAAACTATATCTCTTGATTGATATTTATTAAATAATATAAACAATTTCCATCTACTAAGATTATAAATTAAGTAGAATTCATGTGTATATGTATATATATATATATATATATATATGTTTTTAGATATATTTATAGAATAGCCATTCATAACATATATTTCAAATGGTATATATATATATATATATATATTGAAGAACTAATTAAAGCCACATCTTTCTTTCTACTAAATGATTGATTTTGTACAAGTCTTATGTTTCCAAATCTGTTGTAGAGAGAGTTTTCTTCAAGAAAGTATTAGGCCTTTGGCTATTATTAACTGCTCAAACAAATTGAAAGTTTGTAAAATACAAATTTTATTTATAGCTTGATTTCACAAAGATATTTACATTAAATACACAAGTCTAGGATATGTAAGAGCTCTTAAGATGTGACTAAATATCCTAAAACCACTTCTATTCTTTTAAGAACCTCTTTTGAATATGTATTTCTCCATAACTTTCAATCTATCAAGTTGGACTATCACTTTTCTATAAGTTACCTTATATCTTTAACTACATCTATTAAAAAATTCAACTATAAATTTATTACAAATCTTTGGATATCACCTAATTTCTAGTAGATGCTAAACATGTCAGTTTTTAGGCACCTCTGCACTAATTCTATCATATCTTAAAAATCCAATATTCAAATACCATGAATTTTTTATATAAAACTTCTTAACATAGTCATCTACATTTATAAAAATTTTGAGCCAAAAATTTGTCCAAAAACTTAAGATATAGCCCAAATCAAAATCTCTATGAAAAGAACTCACTTACAAATTCTAGTTTTAAAGTACTAACTTCAATAGTTCTTTTTCCTTTGTTCTAAATTGGAATTTATCAATTCTTTAATATAAAATGTAGCTCTTCAAGTCAGCTTTTAAACACTATCTTTTAAATACTAAATGTCTTCTTATAACTCTTTATATACTTAAAATAATAGTAGTAGATACCAAATTCATATCCTAACTTCAAACAACCATATCTCTTCTATTCAAAATCCAAATTATATATTTTCTTTACCCATATTTTAATCCAAAACACAAGTTTTTTGAATCCACTCTTCAAACTTCAAATGAATTATCTTGCCTCAAATGGTTTGCCTTATCTCAAATAGGTTGCCTTAAAGTGGTCCAAAATTCTAATGTGGTTTTAAACATCTTGAAGTCTATTGGACATGACTTTCAACCAATGGAAATAAAATCCTCTATTACTCACCTTATCCATCCACATGGGATGACTTAAGAGTCTGAATATTATACTTTTGATACCAAAGCCCATCTAAACTCCTTACTAATGAATTCTACAACTTCTATTTTTAATTAAAAAATTCAAATCACAAACTTAAATAAATTTAAAAAACATATATTTTTATTTTATTTCATTCTTAATTACAATCTAAACTTTTATAATATTTTATATTATTTTAACATATTATGCTATTTTTTAGTACAACACCATTTCCATCCATTGTCTTGATTCCAACTCTTCTACCTCCTCACCACCTCCTGTCACGGCCATAATCATGTAAGCTAATAATTACATATACAAATAAGTAGAAGTAAGTAAAAGTAAGTAAAAGTAAGTTAATTCTATAATATTTAATATGGAAGCTTCTTAGAAGCTTCTTAGATGCTACTTTGACTTCATAGGTGTCTTTAATTGACTTTTTGGATTAGAAACGTGGTTAACAAGTTGGCCATGTGCCACACATGTTGTTAGCTTGAAGATCAAGCTAACTATGTGGCCCACACGTAGAAAAACTTGCCTTGTAAATCAAAGCATGTGTCCTACAAAGTCAACACATATTGGAGGTCCTATAGAACATCGCCACGTAGCCCGTAGTTAGATAGTATATATAGAGATAAGAGTTAAGGCTTCTTCACTCTTGTCAACTCCTTTCTTGCTTCTAGTCTAGTTTCAAGGATCTCTAGTTTTCTTGTCTTTTGGCAATAGCCATTCTAGTTTCTATTTCAATATATATACTTGTTTATATATATTTTGTTAGCTCTCTTTGAGTGAAGGCTCACTTGGCTGAATTGTTTTTTCATCGAGTTCTTGTCCTTCACAGATTGACAAGAGTACACCTACAATATCAGAGCTTTGTCTAATCTTGATTAAGAGTGGATTACCCCTTTTTCTTGATAAGATATAAGCATATTAGAAGTTACGGATTACACTCTTCTAAACTGATATTGTCCTTATTATTTTCTTTGTCCTCAAGTCCTCTCTTCTATTTGTCTTGAGCGATATTATACGTCCTCTCTCTTCTAAATGTTATCATGGCAAAACTTCTCGAAATGAAGAATGCAATGGCACAAATGCAAGAGCAATTGAGGGAGTTAATACTTGCGATGCATCAACTCAATTTACCACCACAAGGAGCAACAAGATTGGCAGGAAGTGAAGATATAGAAATGGTTGGAGTTGCTTCAACATCTGCACCAAACCATGTCTTTTTTCCTATGGTGGAACGCCCTTCAAATGTTAGAGAACCAAGAATTGTCCTACCCGAGAAGTTTGATGGCACTAGATCCAAGTTTCGAGGATTTATCAATCAAGTGCAACTGGTGATTGAACTTCAACCCCAAAGCTATCCAACTCCAGGATCACAAGTTAGATTCATTGGTATGCTTCTTTCAGGTTCAGTACTATCGTGATTTTCATCTTTTCTTGAACGACGAGATCCAATATTGGATAATCTAGAGGCTTTTTTGGCAGAGTTTTGATCCATGTATCGAGAGCATGATGCAATTTGTATTGCAACCAATAAGATCCGTATTTTACGACAAGGCAATCGATCAGTAACGTTATATGCTTCACAATTTCAATAACTTGCAACTGATATCAAGTGGAATGATGCTGCACTTATTAGCCAATTTCTCTACGGATTACAATATGAGGTAAAAAAATTAATGCTCAACTTATCTGATCCTCAAACATTGAGTCAAGCAATTGACTTTTCTGTGAAGTGTGACAATCACCTTTTTGAATTTCGATCTAAGAATCGTACAAGTGGACTTCAACGTTACTATAATTCAATGGCAACACCAACACCTCTTCAACACATACATTTGGAAGTAGAGGATATGCAAATTGATGCAGTACATTTCAAACCTCTTACTGAGCAAGAAAAGACTCGTCGTCATCAAGAAGGATTATGTTTATATTGTGGAGAACCAAAGCACACTGCTCAACATTGTCCAAAGAAATGAAGCAATCACAAAATGAGGAGTATGGCTGTGAAAGAAGACAATATGTTAGAAAACGAGTTTGTCCAGCTACAATAGGGACCGTGCGGCTGGAACATTGCACAACATCTAGTAAAGATCCTATTCTCTCCTCACAGCCCTCTCCTTGTTTTACATTAAATGTTATTTTAGGACCTAAACATTACAAAGTCTTTGCCTTATTAGATTCAGGAGCCTCAGCGTATTTTTTAGATGAAAAATTTACTAAAAGACATAGCATATCTTTAGTAAAGAAAACTAAACCTGTTCATGTAGAAGTCATAGATGGTCGTCAATTGTCTTTTGGAGATATTACTCACGAAATCCTTCCTATAGAAGTAATAATCAATGGTCATAATAGTTTTGTAGTATTTAATATTATTAGATCTCCTTCTAATCCAGTCATTTTAGGTTTATCGTGGTTAGAAAAATACAACCCTCAAATAGACTGGATTTCTCGAACTCTTACTTTCTCTAAAAGTATAACTAATAGTGTAGTTAATCAAGTAGAGAGTCATAAGTCTAGTTCAATTAAACCCGTATTTATAGGTATAAAAGCTTTTTTGCATGCTGCTATGAAAGAATCATCATACATTATTTATGCTACACCCGTTTCTAGTAGTGAAAAGAATTCAAATGGCATTCTAAGCTAATATCAAGAATTTCAAGATGTATTTGAAAAAAACAATGCGGATACACTCCCGAAACATCGTCCCTATGATTGCTCAATTGACCTTCAAGAAGGAGCACAACCGCCATTCGGACCAATCTATAGTTTATCACAAAATGAGTTGGCTGAGCTCAAGGAGTATATTGAAGAAAATCTAGCCAAGAATTTCATACACCATTCTAAATCTCCGACATGAGCTCCAATTCTATTTGTGAAGAAAAAAGATGGATCCTAAGAAAGTTCAAACTATTATAGATTGGAAGATCCCAAAAATGGTAAGAGATGTCCAATGTTTTTTGGGATTTGCCAACTACTATCGGATCTTCATCAAAGACTTCTCTCGAGTTGCAGCTCCACTTACACGTTTGACTTGTAAAGACAAACTCCAATGGAATCAAGAAGCGGAAGTTGCTTTTGAATCTTTAAAGACAACATTTGTTTCTGCACCAATCTTGTATCGTGTTGATTTTTCCAAAGCATTCTTTATGGAAACAGATGCATCGGACT